TTCTGCATGCACTTGTCAGAGTATGTGATCTGTTACAGGCCAGGGGGTTCACAGCCCTCTTTATCTAGTTCTTGGGGTCTTGGTATTCCATTTTTCAGCCTCTTCTTTCCTAATTCAGCACAGTTTACGTCTTACTAACTTTGATGCATTCCAAAGGGCTCTGAGAGAACTCTGATAAGAACAGTTACAAGCTGCACAATGGGACCCAAGTTATTATTTTGCTACAAGCTGCCACCTAAACGGTGTCAATGCCAGAAAAGGGGACTTCAAAAGTGAAGAGAGTCAGAGCGGTGTGAAGAGAGCCGGAGCTACCCTGTATCCTCCGTGGATGAAGTGAGGATGAGCGGCGCAGGTTGTACCTGAGCGCACCGAAGGTGACAACTATTGCCACAAACCCCCCGGCACCCAGCACCTCAGCAGCTGTCCATGTGTGGGAGTCCAGGGCTTCCCTCTGGCTGCCCTGGCAGGTCTGGGACCCTGGCAGAAACCCCCCTGGACAGAGCCCCCAGAGACACTGTCTGTGATCTCTGTCCATGGAAAAGAGTTTTCAATCTTACAGGATGAATTACCAGCTCTGAGTGTTTGATATAAGGAATAATTAAGTGTGGCACGGGTGCAAAAGTAAAATTTTAGGTTTCTAGATTAGGGGTTCAAAGGGGACAAGATGAAGGAAATTGGGTGTGTCTTGTCCTTTTTCTCCTTCTTCATGCCCTCCATGTTTCACTGTGGTGTTGGCATTTTTCTGTTGGTTTAGGCTGGGGACACACTGTCCAACGTAGGTGACAGATATTGGCACGTTATTGTAAATCCAGCACAGGTAGTTTGTGGTATTTAATGTTTGTACCATCCCACTGAGGGCAGAGCCCCACACGCTGCCCTGCAGGACAGAGCTGCGGCAGGGCAGCAGAACATGTTAGAGATAAACAGAATAAACAACCTTGAAACCAGCACAGACGAATTATGGCTTCTTCTTTGGCAGCGGGGCGGAAAGACAGAGACTTTCTACAATCTTGGAATCATCAATACCACAGTTCCAACATCCATGCACCGCAAGCATTAGTGGCTCAGAGCAGGGTGGGAGCAGGAGAGATAAAAAACAAGTCTTCCACATGAGAATGACACCTCTGCCACTCTCTCCATGGGCAGCACAGGGGACAAAACTGCTTTTCCGATCACACCCAGCCGCACTCAGCACTTCACGCCTTCCTTTCAGGTTTGCAAACAGATCTCTAGCAGCTCTACTTCTCAATTTCTTCTCCTCATTCATAGAGAAAAACACATAATGTACTTACTTAAAACACAGTGGAGGAGTTTGACACAAATTAATGATTTCCCTGTCATACTTCAAGAATTTTGATATTTGCAAGGAGAGGAAGAAGGCTTCAGGTATTCTGAGAGCTGTAAAAAGCTGCCTCGGAATTCAAAGACAGCTCATAAGAAATCAAATCAAATCAACTGATGGATTGCTGTAAGTTTTGAGATAACCATTTAACACTAAAATCACACTACTGTCCCCCTGATTTTTAAGATTTTCTAAAGCCTTCTGAGTTTACATTCTTGTAAAAAACTTTCTCACACAACTTTCTGTAAACAACCTATTGTTTTACATTCCTTCATAGAGGCAGAGAAATTTGATGTACTAGTAGTTTATCCAGTGTCATTGGTGAGGTAGTATGTTCACCCTCCAATCCAGTGTCACCTTTAGAAAAACATAAATGTTAAAGTCAGAAATAAAACCTCCTCTTTGTTACCTTTACAATAGCAGCAGCTTGCTGCTATTCATACTTTCACGTGTCCTATAGTGACACACTACTACAATAATAAAAAAATAATAAATAAAAAGTTCTGGAAAAAGTAAGCCATGAGTTCCCTCAAATTAGATCCCATTGGCATGAAATTACTTCACAGCTGCCACATGTGTTGCTCCAAGAGAGATTACTCCTTAAATAATGTTAATGACAACTTTGATTTGACTTCTGTAATTACTAGAGGGAGAAGGGACCACATTTCCTAGGAAGAAAAATCTTTTATCTGCTTGTTTAATGTACAATCTTTGATGAGATGGAACTCCTTTCCCCCAAGTTATTTCCCAAGTATTTTTGTTTTGAAAAAGAAATTGATTTCCAGGTTGAAAATGGAGCTGCTGTGCAGCGCTCAGCTGTGGGAGAGCATCTAATTGTCATTTACAATGACCCTCATCTCTTCTCTAAACATAGAGAGATTATTTTTCTCTCCCAACTCTCCTCACCCTCACTCCATAAGCAGGTGTATTTACAGGGCTGGATTCTTCTCTGAGTTACCTCCACAACTACCAGTAAATCATAAAAATTTCTCCTGCAATCAATGGAGTGTCTTCACATTTACCAGACAGTATAATCTGGTCCAAAAGGCAGCTGATTGCTATCTATAACCTCCCCATCCAATTCAAGTGATGGGAGATGCAACCCAAAAATTTCCTTTGGGCTTTTTTACTGCCAAAATAGATCACATTCTTTGGCAGCCTTTTTACAATCTCCACTTCTCTAAATAAACATCACAGAACCTACACTGCTTTTACTGCAAAATGCTTCTCCCTGCCTGTATCGAGGCGGGTTTTTAGCTGATGTGCCAACAGACTGTGACAGAAACTCTGTGCAAACCTGGGGTGCAGCACCAAGACACGGGGCGCAGTGGGGACCAGGGAGCACCAGGAATAATCTTCATGGTTAGATAAGGTGAAATCTTGCACTCTCCTCATCCCAGTTAGACACTGCATGGTGATGTAAATTATTAGAATGCAGCTCCTAGAGAATTTGGGGGCTGGATGCTCCTTGTCAACAAAGGTAGAAAAAGGAGCTGTGGTGTGCAGTGCCCAAATCCCAAACAGGTTGTAAGCAGAGTCTGCTGAGGAATTGTTGAGCTGGGATGTTCTGCAGGATGGAGTGACAGAAACAGCTCATGAAAAGGCCACCAAGCAAAGCCAGGCACTAGCACAGCTCAATGGCTGCAGAAGTGCTGAGGAGAGCACAGTATTTAGAAGAAATCATTCAAAGTACATTCCTGGACTGTAAATGAACCGCAACTGCTCAGAAAAGCCCTGACGTTGAAGGTCATGCAATTTAACACAGGGCTCTGATTTGCAATGAACAACAAAAAGTAAATGCATTATTAAAATGCATGGCAAATAGAACATACCACCAAAAATGACAGATTCTGGCTGTACTGTGCCACTACATTAATTAACGGCTTTCCCCTATTGGTTTGCTCACTAAGATTCAAACATATTAATTCTTTGATGAACATTTGTATTCAGAAAATGGCAAATTTCTTCCCAGCCTTCTTTTGTTGGGAAGGGACGATAGCTGTTAATGGGAAAGGGAACAGAGAAGGAGCAAAACAGCATAGCTGCCACACTCACAATGTGACTTTCTCACTGGGGCCTTGAACTTCAGAGCAGCTTCAACTCATTTACAGAGCCTGGGAATGAAGGTGCCTTCCCTACATGAAAATTAAATATTTTCACGCAGCGTTATGACTTTGCCTTGAAGCATTTGTGGCTCCATGTTTCATTGGTATTTGTGTCATTTTAGTCCACTGAGCTTAAATGTGTAATAAGGATGCCTAGATGTGGATAATTCTCCCTCCTTTCCCACCGCAATCAGGTTTTGTCCTTCATTATACCTTTCTGTTGAGTCTATTAGAGCATAAATCTTTACAGAGTTCTTCAAGCTTTGACCTACATCTTGCATATACGGGAACTTTTCTCCCTAAATTGTCTTTGGGAGCACACCAGTTCATTAAAGTTTTGAACGCTGAACCCTCACTCTTATTGCTTTATCACCCAGTTTATGTGCCAAATGTCAAAACAGGCATCAGAAATCTGATTTATGAGGATATATAGAAAAATTGTGGTACATGCTTCTGACTGGGAGACAGCTGGCAATTTCCTATCAGGATTTCCTCCTCAGCTCCCAGTGCCCAGCAGGCAGTCCAACACCAGCGCTGCCAGCACAAATCGCGATTCAGGACTGACAAAGCTTTGAGGCTTTTTGTAATATCTTTAAATTTGTGTGCTTTCCAGCTGACTGTTTTGTGATTTTTTTTTTTTTAATAAAAGTCTGTGCTGTTGTAAAAAAATAAGCACCTATAAAGTCAAGCAGTCTCCAAATACCATTGTGGGAAATATTTTATACTCTTTTTGAAATATCAGAAAATTATGGATGAAGCAGCAGCAGTACTACACAATACACAAGCATGGATAAGGCATGTTCACATACTGATTTAGCATGTCAAACCAAAACAGAATTATGTCCTACTCACAATTCTGATCTCCCTGTGAAAAACACCAATCACTTTGTTGTTAAGATTTTAAAAGTTTAATAATAATAAAATGGTTATAAAAATAATAATACAATTAGAGTCATAAAGTTTAGAGTTAGGACAATTACAAGACAATAAAAAGCAAAGAATTACAGACGTCCGGATGCTCTCGGACACTAAGTCACGGAAAGCATCCCTTGTGAGCAAAGGAATAACCTTAAAAGCAATAGCCTGTTGCATATTCATATATCCTTCCTGGTTATGCATACATTCTATTTAAAACAAGAACTCTGTTGTATGTCAACTGTTTCCTTTAATCTCCAAGGCATCTTCGAGTGCGAGCAAGGCCTGAAGAAATTAGCTTCTTCTGATAAGAAAACCATAAATTCCTTTTCTCTGGAAGATTTAGGTGTTCCTCGAAGCGAGTATCTCATTCCTAAAAGAAAAAACTCCCCCCACATACACAGTCTCTATTTTAACATTATGTTGGAACCTAAAACTATATTTAACACGCTACTTACAAGAATTAATACAGCATAACTTTCCAACATTACACATATAATATTCATTGTAATATTTGCGAAAAGCCAATCAAAAAAGACGCATTTTTTCACATCCCTCACCCCGCACAGCCGTAAAGTTTTATTTCTACCGCTGGTTTCGCACCACCAGCACATCCCCCGGTCTCGGAGGCTCCCGGGGCGTGGGCAGCGAGGCCGCCGTGCCCGCGGCCGCCCCGGCCGGAGGGTGGAGCCGCGCCGCCGCCTCGCCCCGCTCCTCCCGCGGCGTGCGCGGCCTCGGCGCTACGCGAGCGCGGGGATCCGCCGCGGCCTGCTGGCAGCCATGGCCGGGGATGTGAAAACCAAGCTGTCCAAGAACCTGCTGCGCATGAAGGTGACGGGGGAAGGAGGGGAGGGCTGGAAGCGGCGGCCCGGGGAGCAGCAGGGCCAGGCCGTGCCGTGCCGGCACCCGTGGCGAGCGGGGCCCGGCGCTGTGAGCCGCGGCCGGGGTACGGAGCCCCAGTGCGCGGCATTGCCCTGCCCATCGCCGGCCACACTTGGAGCCCTGTTGTGGGGCATTCCCGTGCCCATCGCCGGCCACACTTGGAGCCCCGGTGTGGGGCATTCCCGTGCCCATCGCCGACCACACTTGGAGCCCCGGTGTGGGGCATTCCCGTGCCCATCGCCAGCCCCACACGGAGCCCCGGTGCGGGGCATTCCCGTGCCCATCGCTGGCCGGGATGTGGAGCCCTGGTGTGGGGCATTCCCGTGCCCATCGCCGGCCACACTTGGAGCCCTGGTCTGGGGCATTCCCGTGCCCATCGCCGGCCCCGCCGGCCCTGGCTCTCCCCAGTCAGGCTCTGAATACAGATGTGGTTATCCATGTGTTATCTCGGGCTGCTCCCCCGGCAAAGACATCGCTGGTGCCGGCACCGATCTGCTCGAACGCGGGGGTTGCAAACTGCAGGGCTCGGTGGAGGAGAGCAGCCTCATGGTGCCAGCAAAAGTCTGGCCTCCAGGGCCAGCTCCAGCGCATCTTCTGGGAGTTCTTCGTTCCACCTCGCTCCTCTGCTGCTGGGTTGGTTGTTGTGGGTTTAAATAAAAATATTTCAACAGCACTTTGAAATGAACGTATCAATGCTGCTTGCTTTGCGTGGGGGTGGGGCTTTTAGTATTGAGGGAGAAGAAGTTTAGGTTTTGGTGTGAGCATTTTTACATTGCTGGCTAAGGAAATCCCAGCCTGAATGGGGATTAATAGCCAGTATTAACCAGCTTTTCCAACTCATAAATGCCAGGGATCTTAGTAACATCCCGATGTGCTTATTGCCCTTGGTATTGTGAATTTCATGTCACCAGTGTGAAATTAGTCTCTGCTCACTGGCTAATGCACTGTGCTTCACACCATGTACTACAGCTCCTAATTCAGTAGAGTACATTCTCTGATTGATGGTCCTTTATTGCTGGAAAACAACCAGAAAAAGTTGAGTACTTTTTTTTTGATGTTAATATTCAATTTTTTAACTGAACATGATGGGGCCTTTGTGGCTTCTTGCGTGTGGTGTTTTATTTAGCCATTTTTTCCCCACGTATTTATATGGGCCTATATTTCACATTCTGGCTGAAAAAAGAGTTAGCTGACTTCAGTTCAATTTTTCACATAAAGTGCACGCTGCTACAGTTGGATGATGGAATATTTACCCTAATTAACAGATGCTTCTAAATCTAAAACTTGTACACAGAAGGAACAAAATACATCTTGCCTCGCTTTCAAAAGGGAGTAGATGCTGAACTTGAGTCAGCCAGCAATGTGTGATACGGTCAGTCAGACTCCCATAACCTGGATGGCAACATCATTATTTTTTCTTACTTTTATATAATACTCCTTTAAAATGAAATTTTTCTTTCTGTTGTTTGTCACTATACTAACCCCCTGGAGATTTCAAAAGCAGGTTTTTTTGATTGTTTTTCTCTGGAAGGCCATGGAGAACCAGCCATGTGCATATGCTGCCATGACATTTGCAGGTTCACAGTCCAGGCAGTGATAACCAGCTTTGAAGAGATCAGTGGGTTTTGAAAAGGTCATACACAGATCTTGCATTTAGCACTTTGTTTCTGCAGATCTTCCTGTTTACAAATGTTTTAATTAAGCCTTTAGCAGCTGCCTCTGCAGGTAGTGATCCAATATATTACCAGAATTCAGCAGGTGGGTGAAGTGGCACCTAGAGGTGACATGAGCGTGGTGGTGTTGGAAGGACCATTTGCAATAAATACTGGAGACAAATGGACACAGACTTTAGATCTTGCACCATTTGATCCAGGTCTCATAGCCTGGGGAAATACACCCAAACAGCTCCTCAGATACTGACTTACATATTCTGTGCCTACCACAGCGGGTATATTTTTAATTCATCAGTGTGTGTTTACATTAGAGAGAAACCTGATCACATAATTTTTATCTAGGTTTTTCCTGTAGTAATCTTCGGGAACATAATCTTTAAAATGGAGTGTGAAATGATTATTTAATTGGGTTCTTGTAGCAGAATTTCTTGTGTTGAGGTTTCTGACTGGCTAACCAATTTCCTCGAGCAGTATGTTTTTCCACATGATAGATTCACTTATTTTCCTCGAAGAAGATACTGTAATTTTAATTGGAAAGCTTTGACATATTCTGAATCGACTCAGAAAACAGAAGTCAATTTTTCTTTCATTAAAGATCTTGTACAGTGGATGCAAATAGAAATAGAAATGGAAAATAAAACACTAGCTCTGTTGGCTTGTACTTCTGAGTTTGTTTTGATTGGGCATTTTGTAAAGATTGAAAATACGTGTGGGTTGTTCATAATACACTGCACACCTGTACCACCCATGTATTTTTAAAGGACTGTGTGTGAACTGTATTGTTAGACTTGCCCCTGTCTGGGAGTTAGGTTGGTATAAATGTAGACCTCTGACAGGTACAGTTATCCAAACACTTTCTGTAGATCCTCACGGAGGTCTCAGCTTTTATGAGGGTGGGACTATATGGATTAGCACCATAAAATTTTGAAGAGTTCTGTTTTTTCCCAGCATATTTCATTGACATTGTTTAGACTTAATTGTCACTCAGTTCAGGCACCTGACTTGAGACAAATGGAAATTAAAATGCTGTTTCACAGGTCTCAGGTCTGTAGTTCTGTGCTCTCAGCAGTTTTTTATAGGCTGTGACAGATGTCTTCTTCTACTCCCAGCTGTTGAGAGGTTACTGTTTTACCTGTCTGTTCCCATCCTTTGACAGAGGTTATCACCAAGGAAGCAAGTGACAGGAGTGTCCTTGTATTAGAAAAAAAACAGCAGTCTTGCCCTAAATTTCCTTCTTGGTCTTAACTATTTAGCCAGACTGTTCCTTCAGTGAGTTAACGGGTGCTTAAATACAGTGCTGGACCTGTACTTTGGTGGGTCAGTGAGAATTGAAGAGCTGGGAGCATCTTCCTTTAGCACAGCTGGATACAGTGGACTTTTCTTCATAGTCTGGTTTCAAAGTCTTACATTCTGTCACTTCCAAAGACAGGTTTGTGCCTTCAAAGCTACAATCCAGTTCATTAAATCTGAGAAAAGAAGAGGATGGTTGGAAGTCCAGATGTTTAGAAAAATAACCAGCCTGGTATGACCCACCTCTAGCTCTGAGCTCCAGTGCTGTTTTATGGGTGGGGTTTGTTCCTGATGTGCAACAATAACATCAACACCATTATCTTCTTTCTGGCCTTTACTGAAACTTTAGAAAAACCTTAGTAAAATTAGGGAATTGTGGCAACCCCAATCCATCAAAACTAGCCAGGACAGGTCTGTTTCTTTATATGTGAGTACAGATGTGACTGTCTGTTGACTTCCAGTAAATAGGTGTGATCAGCAGCTGTTTTAATTTTCCATTTTCTGTTTGCCCAAACTTTGACCAAACACAGAGGAAAAAAAATCACAAAAAACATTTACTTTGTATCAACTGCTAAGCATTATGTAATGGATAATTTCTATCATGTAATTACTGCATGTTCAGAAGATACTCATGACGCAGAAAACTGAAGCTGTTTGTGTCTTTCTTTGTAGTTCATGCAAAGGGGTTTGGATTCACAAACTAAAAAACAACTCGAAGAAGAAGAAAAGAAGATAATTAATGAAGAACACTGGTATCTTGATGTACCAGATCTAAAGGAAAAAGAGTAAGCTTGTAGTCTTTTGTACTTCTTATCATCATTGGATTGTTTTGAAATGGAAATAGCATATTCATATTTTTTCCTGTAAGATAAGTATTATAAATAACCAGTTAACAGAAGCAAAAATAGTGACAGACTGGCATTACAACTTTTTTTATGACATATTTTTAGGGCTGTTCTTGAGGTTGCCTAGTGTAGTTTGACCTACTTTCAATTCTTGTGTGTGTTGTTTTCTTTGCTCACACATTCTTCTAGATGCATGTAATTAGTTTCTTTCAGTCAGGGTCCAATTCATTCATTGCTGCTTTTTCCCTTCATTAGAAACAAAGTTTGAAACCTTGTGTTAGTAAATTCAGCTCCAGTCATGTGGTTATGTCGATTCAGGACAGTTCTGTCCTCTTGTGTCCAGCTCACTTCAAATCCTGGTTTTGAAATAGAAGAGATAATGGCAAAAATAAAGGAATGCTTAGCTAATAAGGAAAAAAGTGTCCTTCTCTTTAGAAAGGTGCCTTAAATAGCAGGAGAACTACTTTTGAAATTGCTTGGGTTTCATCCTTTCAGAAGTGGAAGAAAATTCCACTGAGGGAGAACATACATAATTTTGAAAAAGCTAGGGCCCAAGGAATTAACTGTAGCTGAATAAGGCCATTGATAAACTCTTTTCCATTACTCTTGGTGGATATGACAAAAAGGTATTTGAGCTTCAGTTGCAGCAAGGAATGTTCAAGCTGGACATTGGGAGAACTTTTGTAACAATAAGACTATTGAAGTTCTGGACTAGATTGCCTGAGGAGACGCTGGATTCTTCATCCTGGGAAGTCTTTTGAGGACAGGTTAGCTGGACCTCTGCTGTTCATGGCACATGTGTAACTGATATTGCCTTGAGGCAGGACAATGAGCTCAATCTCTTCAGCCTAAGTTCTGTGATCATGAGAGTTTGATTTACATGGGAGATGAAGAGGATGAGGGAACAGGTACATATGTGTGAGGAAAAGGATGGAACAATCCACCAAAGTACTTTTATCTGACACGTGTATTATGAATGCCTCAGGGTCATGTTTCTTTTCTCACTCCATGCTCATTAAAAGAGGAAAAAAAGGAGGGAGAAGGGGGAAATCTGCTGAACAGAGAGTGACACAGTGTTTTATACCCTGACAGACTCAACTAACGCCAGGTCTAACAACACAATGAAAAATTAATTAGAAGCTTTTGCTGGTATAGCAGTGCCACCTGGGGAGTGATATTTATGTGGTATTTTTATTCTGGCAAAACTATTAATGTAGGCAGAACCATACCAGCAAAGAGTGCTTTTTGTCAGAAAAGTTAATTTTGCTTGTGGAACTGGCACAGCTTTACTGTCAAAAAGGATTCCTTGGCACTCCAAGCCCCTTGTACTGAAAGATTTATCAGAGCAATTAAGTAGAAAGTAGTTGATGGCTTAAAATACACTGTGGCTTTGTTGGTTTGGGTTTTTTTTTTTTTTGTGGGGGGGGGGGGAAGACAGCACATCCCTTTTCCATTTATTTAACTTGGTTATTTTAAAGTTCATGGTCTGACAAAATGCTGGGTTTGGGGTTTCGTGCAGGAGCTGTATAATAGAAGAGAGGAGCTTTCTGCGATGTGAGGATTTTGTTTATGGCAGAATGTCCTTCAAAGGATTCAATCCAGAAATTGAGGTACCATTTCAGTGTCCTGGTCTGAGGTTGTTTCACATTACGATTGAAGCCCTTGGGTTTGGGGATTTGAGTGTTCACACTGCAGTCTTATTGGCCTTTGCAGCACCTTCCATAAATCCTCCCATGTCCAGAAACTCCATCATCCAACCCTAAATGTTGATCAATGCAGCACCTGGTAAATAGAATCTTTTTACCACCCTGTGTTGTTGGTCAGTAATTGCATGACTCCTGCAGATTTTCCCTCCCTGAAGTGAGGAAACCATCCCACATGCTGCTCACCAAAACAAAAGCTCACTTTTCCTCCTGACATAGAATGCAGAGTCCAATCTACAAACATTCAACCCTATTTGTTCAACACTTAGAGTTCCAAATTAAAAATGCTGGGCAAGAGTATTTAATTTCTTTTTGCCATGATTCACACTGATAGAAGTACACAGGGACAGTAATAAAAAGGTTACCACTGAACCTGAAGCAGGAGGATGAAGGTGTAAAGACTAAGAGATTGGCAGAAGGCTATGCAAGGTAATTTACTAGAGGATTCTTTTAGTTACTTTGAACTTGCTGTCCCTGTGACTCAGCATATGATTGTTTCATGGCTTTTACTGTAAATCCTTGAAGATATTCTTTCTTTTTAACAAAACTATTTCAAGGTCTGTGTGCTAACATCGCGATGAAAAATTAATTATGATCTAACTCTCTGATCTCCTGGAGATGTTTGGAGTACCCTTTAGGGTGTTTGAGTAGTACAAAACACTGAAAACACTGTCTCTGTTGCCTTTTCTTCATGAGCTTTCATAATGATGGCTCTAGCCTAACCAGGAACAGAAAATAATTACTAAATTTGATTCTTACCACTTATGCTCTTCTACCAGTGAATTTCAGCACTGTTGCCATTGTGTCATGCTTAAGCTGTTTCTCATTTCATTTTCAGAAGTTAATGATTAAAATGAACTCTAAGTGCGAGGAGGAAGAAATTGAAGAGGATGATAAAATGGAGGCTGATGTGTCAGATGAAGAAATGGCCAGAAGGTAAGTTACCTTTTATGACATAATCAGTACTAGCTAGGAATATACGTTACTGTATGTGTGGAGAAATAAAACCCAAAAAGGAAACAAACAAAACAAAAAAAGCCTACAATAGCTATGGAACTGTACCAGATTGAATTTCCAGGAATGCTGGTATATATTCACTTGAATCTCCGTCACATTTGGGGGTAAATTCTCCATCACTTGTAGGGGTTTTCTGCCCTTTGATATCCAGGTATTCCATGCTAATTCTGTCTTGTTACCAGTTGCTAACAAATTGAAACTATCAGAGTGAATAATAATGTAATAAGTCATGCAGTACTTGTGCTTCTCCAAGCTTTTAATGTCCAGGTTTTTACACCACTTGAATTGTTGATTATGCTTAGGATATGCTCCACGATTTTTCCTCTGATTTTAGTAAAAGGTATATTTTTTTAATTCTCTCTACAGATATGAAACATTAGTGGGAACAATAGGGAAGAAATTTTTGAGAAAAAGGGACCAACGTGTACTCAAGGATGATGATGAAGATGATGAAGTTGAAGAGGGGAATAGTAACACAAGACCTACTAAAAGAGCTAAGAAAATGTTCTTAAAACCTCAGGATTAATGTTACCTGCACAAGTGGAGCTTGTTACCTAATGCCTACCAAACAGAGTACCAAGAACTGGAGATTGTTTGGAGTTTTTGCTATTTAATGTAAAGGGTGGATTTGTAAATCTGTTCTATTCTCATTGAAATTTCTACCATCCACAGGACAGACACTTTCCAAAGTGGGTGTTTATATAATGGATGTTGTACATCCTTTCCTCTCTCAGCAGCTTTTCATGAGTGGGGCATTCATCCCATCAGTCTCTTTAAATGTTCTACATAGTTAAATTGAGTGTTGCATGCAATCAAAAGCAACACTATTTACAATTTAGGATAACATCTGAAAGAAGTATTTGGAGTAAAGATGAGCTGTGTCCAATTCAGTAAGGCAGTTCAGATTTCACTGCTTGCTTTATTACAAAAATGAAACCTGCACTCTCTTCAAATTGAAAAAAGTCAGCAGAAACATGCTTTGTTAGTGAGCTTTTTTACTGTGATAAAAATAAGATGAGAGAAGAACAGAGAGATAAAATCCACTTTATTGAATTTTATTTTTTATAAAGTTTATTTAAAAATAGAGGATTTTGTAGTGAAACTTTTTTTTATACAGCAAGCCAAATATTGGGCGACGGTTACAGTTTGACATCTGAGCAGATTGTGAGTCTTAGTTTCTGCCTTCCAGAAGAAATTTGCTAATTTTGCCTCTTTTTCAGCAAAAAAATCCAATCTTATAATTATGTAAGTCTTGTCATAAAAGCATAATAACAGTTTCAGAAACATACTTGAAAGCAGAATAAAAACTGTGGGGTTTTGTGTTAATGATTGTGGATTAGCTTATTTAGTGTAAAAAAATTACGCTTAATACATAATCCTTGATACAAGGAGAGATCCTGTTTTGTGCTGGCCACAGCTGTCCCCCAACATTTAGCTGAGTGCATTAATTTATTCAGCATGTGATGAAGACATCTAAAGTAGTGTTAGGATAGAAGTACGATTCTCTTTGGTCAGTTGGTGCGCTGGGTCTTTTGAAAAACATCAGTGTGTTCTTGTCTGAAATCATAGCAGTTCTCTGTGCACAGCCTTTCAACAAGAAATATTGCTATTGCTACATTTCCTCAGGAGGTCCAAGCTTCTCATCCTTAATGCTGGCTCTCTGCAGAAAGGAATTTGTTAATTGAAGTGAGGAGTGGCCATTTTGCCATAGACACAAGGCTTTGTTTTGGTCTTTTTTAAACAGCTCAGTGAAGCAAGATGTAAAACTCAATTATTTAAAGAAGGACACACCATGTCTGCTGTATTTTGCATGTGATACATGAACTATGATCCATATATCAGGAGCACCTAATTAGATATTCAAGATGGATCACACATGGAAAGAGAAATATACTTTTAACCTAGTAAGGGGACTTTGTGCAGGTAGGAAGGCTGTGATTCATGATCTGAGAATAGTTTTTCGGAGCTAATTAAATGCTACTGGTTCAATTACTTAAAACCTGATCATATATTACTGTTAGCTGAAAAGGAGTTAATGATGGCAAGACATTTTTCTTCCCATGGAAGATGTGACCTGAGCTATGAAATGATTTATTGTTGGTCATCACAAGAAAAACTTGGAATACATCCAATTTTTCTTCTTGCTTATTAGTAGGAAAATTATTCCTCTGAATGCATTTCTTGAATGGAGAGTGAATTTCTGCATAGCTGTGCTGAATAAATGAGGGGAAGGGTGTGTTCTGGTGAGCCACCAGCAACCAGGAGATGTCATTGCAATTGCATGTCCTGAGAGACTGGGGGTTGGGGGAGTGTCCAGTGGTGCCATGTAAAGAAGCTTTTGGGTTATTTTGATAACAGCAGTGGCTGAGATTAATTCTGTGTGGCGTCTTCCTTTGTCAGTGTTCTGCAGAGAGCTCTCCTGCGTTGCAGGGTTCTGTTCAGTCCAGTGGGGAATAATTCTCATCAAAGGGCATTCTGCCTCCTTAATTTCATGTCATTTCCTGAGGGATAGCTGGGCATGGGAGTGGCACGGTGCATGGATAAGCACAAGAGAAGCTAAAGAGCTTCCTAGAAAATCCATGATTTTGGAATTAGGACAGAGGAAGGTTGGTTCTGTTTCCTAAATATACCCAATACCAACTGTGAAGGAAAGGTAGATTTTAGTTTATTGTCTTTAAATCTGGGAGCTTTGCTGTTCACATTCAGCTGATGGCTCAGTCCTACAGTAAGACCAGCTACTTATTTTTAGCACAATCTTTTATTCATGAGGCATTTGCAGAATGTGACTTTAAAAGCACCATCCAGAGTGTGTTATTGTGAGCAAAACAAACCCAAACTCAGCCCTGTGTGACTTTTTAAATATACTTTAAGTACAGAGTTACAAGCAGACATGGTGGGACGTTCTTAAATACCTGTCTGCGCTTCCAATGGTATAAATACATTTATGGATGGATTTAAGTTCGACTCAAGCTTCCTACCTGAGGTAGAAACATTCTGCTGTATAAAATCTGTGCTTGAACTACTCTTGACAGAGGTGTAAGCGTAGCAATGAAATATTTGTAAAGCAAACCTGCATTGATTCAGGCTTTCTTAGCTCTGACACGGACTCCAGTACATTTTATGTGCAAGCTCCTAAGCTATAGAACTTTCCTATGTGGTCATGTTTCTAAATGAAGTGTTTCTTCTTTGAAAACAGAATCAAGTTGGGTAAGTAGTGTTTTTATTAAGGAAAATGGCTGTCTGCAAACTGGTAAAAGTGTTACCAGACAGCAGAAGTGTTCGTGCCTGTGACCCTGAAGTGTGGTTTTAGGTGGTGCTCACTGATAGCTCACATAGTCTGTCCCTTGTCATGTGAAGTTTGGTCCCTCCCTTTGGCAGGCTGATGGTGCTTATTTGTAATAACTACTGGGCCTTAAAATATGGGAGTATTGAACAACTTTTTCTTGCTGATGTTTCTCTTTTACTTCTATTTTGCTTAGTGTTGGATCTTAAAAAGTCCAGGATCAGAGTCCAACTGAAGTGAGCCATCCAGTGTGAATTTAGTAATGCTTGAGCTGATTAAACTTTGGTTCTTGGGGAGGGGCAGGATGTTCAATGATGCTGTGGAGTTTGAACCATGTTTCTTGTGCTCTGTGACTTGTTCTCTAATGAGACTCTCCATTATGCAATGCTACAACCATCGGTGGCTGTCATTGCCATTGGGCATTGCCTGTGTGTGTAACAGGCAGCTGGGCTGGGATTCTGGGACTTCATCCAGCATTCAGACTTTAAAAGAAATTGTTTGTCTTTCTCTTGATTGGAATTACATACTTTTAAATTGTATTTGGAATTAGATGAGTCTGGGGGCGGAGGGGGCAGTTTCTCAGCATTTGTTTTACTTCATTTGAACAACAGTCCACAACTAAAACTGCAAAATCACTTAGGCTCTCATTAAAGCCTTCTCTGAGAATGCTAATAAAGCATCGTGGTAGGGAAGATGGCAGCCATCCCACAGTTCCCTACCACGTGTGAATTCAAGTTTCTGTGAGAGCTGATGCTTTAAGGACTTGGTGGTTTGTTTTCTTTTCAGGCTGGGAGAACATCAGCTTCCACAATACTGCCTTGCTAATGGAACCCCAGCATGAGGCCTCAGGGTTGTTTGGTTTTGTTTGGGTTCTCATCTCAAACCTCTGAGGGATTTCAGGCCTCATTCACACCTCAATAACCTGTTCTCATCAGCTTTTGGGAAGCTTTAGTTAAACTGTGAAACTGTTCCTTAGCTGTATGTGTTGACATTTCTTTGTGTGATTTCATGTCTCTCAGTGAGGACCTGCTTATAATTGTCACATCAAGATGAGAAATTAACAGATGGGAGTCAGGGAGATGGTTGGAGCCTCAATCACCAGCAGCTCTGTAGATCTTTGGTAAGAACCAAACAGAAGAAGGGGTAGCTGGGTGAGTCCCATCACTGCAGGCCCAGTTAAATGCTGATAGGAGCCCATTGATCCCCAAGAAACCCTTGCATACCAAAATCCAAGCAATTACCTGGGAGCAACAGCAAGAAAACCTCTAGGGAAGCTGGGAACCAAAATAACCACCCTGTTAATGGCTGTCCTCAAGACAAGAAAACAGCTGTGGTTGATGGCACAGAGAAATGTGGTTTGGTGAGCTGGGTAAATGAGAGTCCCATCAGATAGAATGGAGGTGGTCAGTGTTTTGAAGCTCGTAATGTTCCCTGAGGACTTGAGGAGCACCTTGTTGTGATCAATTATTAAAAAGGGGTAAAAACCCTTAATGGGACATTATTATGAGGGAATAACTGAACACAAATTACTGAACAAATTCCATAATTCCATTATTAAAAGAAAAGCTGTGTTCTGGCCTCGGTAAGATCTTTCAGTGTCCCATGTCACCTTTTGCTTGGCTCTCAGTTTCTCATCCCTGTAACTGTCTGTGTACCCAGGCCACGAGCTGCCACCACAGCCGGTCACACAAAGAGCTGGCACCCACCAGAATAAAACCAGAGCTGCTGGCTGCCAAGCCAGGCACCTCCCGGGCCTCCTCTTCAGTGAGCATCTTCCTCAGCCTATGACCTCTTCATCCTACAAACCTGTAGGAACTCACCATCTCCAACACTGCTGCATTTGTTCAATATTGGCCTGTGTAGGTCAAGAAGTGTCAGGTAACAGGTTCCAAGGAACAGGTAACAAGTGACTGGATGTCAGGAAATGGCCTCCAATTATGCCAGGGAAGATTTTGATTAGATACTAGGAAAATGTTTTCACAGGGTTGGAAAGGACTGGAAGACTGCCAAGGACAGTGATGGAGTCACCATCCCTGGAAGTGGCACCTGAGGACAGAGTTTAATGGTGAACATGGTTGTGATGTTGGGCTGATTGTTGAACTGGATGATCTTAAAGGGCTTTTCCAACCTCAGTGATCCTGTGATCCTAAGAAGTTTGAGGTGGGAGGGTTGGCCAACAGATCAGCATGAGTGAGCAACCCTCACAGATGGGGTGTGTAGGAGTCAGTGCTGCTGGGGACAGCTGTACCTGAAACAACGCATAATGTCTTTATTTTCCTTTTATTTATTTTCAGGTATACACTTGCAGCATTTCTGAGATTAATGATCAGATGATGTCTTTGAGCAAAAAGACTGTGGGAGGAATCAACATTTGACTGATACTCAGGCTTATTACAGACTGGGGAGAAGAGTGTTTTTCAGTGTTTCTGCTATTTTTTGATGCATTTAAGAATGTTTCTCATTTCTTAGTGGTTTCCTTGGCTGGGCTTTTTCAGAGAAGCATGGTAGGAGGAACAACATTTTCCGGAAAATGGGGAAACACAATTGTGAAAAAATAAAAGGTTTCCTTTAGATTTGGCTGGCTCCTTGGGTTGTTTTTTCACTTTGATACAGATGAACAGACACTAATAGCACTAAAGCTCTTGTGCTAAGTGGTACCCATTCAGGACAGCCATATTGACACTCATGTTTGCAGAACAAAATTAAGGGTATAGTGGGCTTAGCTTCATATACAAATATAATGCAGTCCTAAAAGTACAGAATTTCCACCCCTTTTGTGACAAAAATAAATCTAAGCCACCTGTGACATTTAGGTACCAGTCACAGTTTATAGGAGGATTATATCTCAGAAACAAAGCTTAGTAGTTATGTCCTTAGAGCCCATCAGCCACAATACCACTGCAATATATAAATTTTCTTCACCAGAAGAATAGCTTCACACCAAAAATTACTTGGGGCAGTTTACTGCAGTAATGACTGGAGGGATGCACATGCTGATGATTTTCATTTTGTACTATGGTTTGTCTAAGGATGATGGTGAAAGAATTATGCCTCCTAATGCTCCTTTCCAATATGTCAATGTTTTACTCATATTAAAGGAAGAGGAATGAGATGAGCTGTGAGTGGTTGGATCTTATGAAAAATGAAGTTTTAAATGTGTACTTCATTGTCTAAATGCTCACAGATTACTTGTCTCCCTATAATAACCTTAGAAAATGTGTTGGCAGCTTATCACAATTAATAATCCATACTCATGTGCTACAGGCAGTCCAAAATTCCACAGACATAGTTTTTACCCAAGCTTATAAACAGATTCAAATCAAATCCTACATTTGTGCCAAAAATTCAACAACAGTCATCTCCCAGCAAATAATTTTACCTAACCGACTCAAGAGTCTTAAATTCCTGATTTTTTCCAAAGTGAAATTCACATTAATCTCATACTAATGTATATGTCCTTCAGTCACCTGCAAAAGAATCCCATAACCTTGCAGTAGGGATTGCACAGACAGTGGAAGCTGCTGTACACACACAGCATTACTGTAGGTTTTCCTGGCCATTTAGATTGTGTAAGATCCTTTAACATTAACGGGGACAAGTTTTCTCTCTAGGGTGATGTTAAATTTCTCTTTGAGGGTTTTTTCCACCTCTTCATCTTCAAGAGTTACAAATTCCACCAGATCCATGTTTTCCTTGTAGTTGTACGTGGTCTCAGTGAGTGTCCACCCAATTAGCGCTCGGAATCCATCGGTTGTCTGGAGGGTGCAGATGGATTTCTTTGTGAAGAGGGAATCTGGAGAGGTCTGGAGGTATGTGCACTGAAAGCTGAAATCTTCCACTGTCCGTGGCTCAAGGCTGAACATATAAACTTTGCGACACTCTTTTTTCTCCAGCAGGTCAGAGTTGGAGAAGCTCTGATTGGGGATGTATTGTTTCCGTCTCATTTTCTCCAGGTACCAGACACCGTTTTTCTCCGTGAAGCGGAAGACGCCGGGGGCCTGGGGCTGGTCTTTCCCTGACACGAGCTCCATGGGCTGCCACATCTGGTAGGACACCCCAAAGCCTCCATCAACGACATAGGCTTTGCCATCGATGACAACCTTTACCACCAGGTGGGTCATGAGGGTGGCGTAGGCGTTCTGGTGGGGGTTGAACACGTAGGCTCCCAGGAAGCTGGTCTCATACCCCAGGCCCCTCAGCACCCAGCCCAGCAGCTGGTTGTTCTCCATGCACCAGCCACCCCGCTTCCTCCGCACAATCTTGTTGTAAACATGCTCCAACTCCAAAGTAATTTTCTCCCCGCAGTGGATGCTGAGGTTTTCAAAGGGAACGGCACGGATGTGATGCTGGAATATATCGGTTAAGGTTTCCAAATCTTGTTTTTCAGTGGAGCCTTTATAGCCAGTTCTTGCAAAATACTCTTCAAGGTTCATCTCACCTGTAAAGGAAGGAATTGTGTTTTGGTTTCTTTACATCAGTGATTTATGACGCTGTGAAAAGCTGCCCTGGCTCTGCCAGCAAAGATTCTTTAATCTACTGAACCTCATCAGAACAGCTTTTAAAGGAAACAAGCATTCCTATCAAATGGTTCCCTGAGCAAAGAGCAGTGCACACGAGGGTTTGCTTTTGTCTTAGAGTCATCCCTCTGGCAAACAGCTATGCCATTTCAGTTTCATACGAGGCGGCTGGGAGATGAGGATTTGCTGTATTTGCATTGTAACAGCGGGGTTAAGAAGAAATGTAAGATCTTGCTGGGGAGTGTGTACAAGGGTTCATGAGAAATGGTCTGAAGGCACTGCTCAGTGACAGGACTGTCACTGGGGGAGGCAGTGTCATCTGCTAGTGGGAGGGAGGACGTTCTGAGCCAGGATTCACGTTCTTTCCATGAGTCTGCCACTGATGGACGTGACAGTAAATGAATTCGCTCATTCAGTACACGTTGGTCTTCCACCACTTACAACAAGTTAACATGAAAAGTAAAGTAACAAGCTTTATTCAGATAATTATAACTGAAAAAACTCTGACTTTTGAAAGAGTCACAGACCACTGAGTCTTGTGTCTGTTCAGAGTGTTGTAGAAACTCATTTTGGTGTTGGAATAATGGATCTGAATGGAGGGAAGTGAGTGGCCTAAAAGACACAGAGTACACCTCCATTCCCTCCTGTGCCCTGTGTCTCACAGACCACCCTGAAAATGAACAGGGGCTGCTTTACTTTTTCTCATCTCCAGCTTTCTCAAAACTCATCAATCCTTTAACTCAGCAGTGAACTATTGAATGTTTACTGCAAACTAGAATTTCTCGAGATGATTCTCAGTGGCAGATTCATGCTGTGCATATTCATGGTGTGGAAGCAGCTCTACACCATTCACTGTCCCAAGTTAATGGAGAGCACCAGCAAAAACTACACATTACCTGCTACAGAGAGGAATTTAGCTTCCAGTGATGTGCTTATTGTTGGAGGATATGTTCAAGGTAGTCTTTATTAACTGTAACATAAAAGTCATGGCACTTTTGATTTACAGAATCTGAGTATATCTGATTCTGTCACTCTGACTGTGAATGCTAAATAGATCACACCAGTATAAAGCTGGTTCTCAAGTTTGTGTTATTTGTTTCTTTCTGCAGCTCCATAATATGCTTGATCAGCACTAGATCTGGACTGCAGGAGATGAAAGCCACTGTTCTTTTGAAATGTGAACAGACCAGATAAAAAGGCAGGTACTGAAAAGGTTGTCCCACAAATGTGGTTATGATTTATGTAGAAAAAAACATCAGCAGAAGAATATTAAAGGTGCAAATGAAGATGTTCATACAAAACTATTCCTTACACAGTATCAGCAATTCCACTTTTGAAAATGTGTTATCTTCTTTATCCTAATACATCAGCACATGGACTTCTGAGTTGCACAACCCCGAGTCTGTAATTTCTTTAAGTTCTTTTTAAAGAGCTGTAATCTTATTCCCTTAAAGCAGAGTCTATTGATTATTATACTGAACTTTTGCTTCCTTTGCACTTGCAATACTTTTAAATAAATTTAAGTATCTAAAAGCACGACTTCCAACAAGAAGTGCCAGTTCTAAATTTATATCTACTATTGTACCTAAACAAAAGAATCTATTTTATAGTGAAGTGAAGCTTCTCCTGAAGAGTGAAAGGTAGAAGAATTGAAATTGCACATCGCTGTTTTGCCCTTTAACTGCCCCTGTTTAGCAGGTGATATTTTAGCTCTATATCCACACATCTTAGAACATTTCTCCTAGAGAATGTTGCTTACATTATTGTCCATGACCTTTACCATCATAAAGAAACCAGGGTTTTGGTATCTTTCTTTGGAGGGTTTTTTTAAGAAAATAAACTTACCTCTTATGAGATCCCTTTTTATTTATTGAGGTATTCAGTTTCTGGGTAGTTTATTAGAGGGGCAGCAGTCAGTGAAGCCAGACGTGGATACAGATTGTGAAGGTTGTCTTTCTAAGCTCTGCTGGCCCTCACTTCTGAATCTTAAATTCCAAGAAAGGGCAGAGTCCACCCAAAAAGAGTTCACATTTTTGGACTTCACTGATCCGTGAGCAAATTAAACTTTGTTTCTTCCTATTAGTAGATGTTTATGCCTTCCCCTAGTTAAGACCAGAATGAACTCCTTCTCTATGTAAAATAATTACAGTAGGCAGTTGCAAATGGCATTGTAACTGTTTTAAATTAAACATTGTTATTTTGCAAACCAGCACTTTGCAGTGGAGGATGTTCATCTGTGCCCTGATGGGTACACTGAGGTGCCAGGTGTTGCAGGCTCTGTGTCTCTAAGCTCCATGGATGCACAAATGACCCTTCTTCCACACAGGAACTTTTTCAAACTGTTCAAGTCCTCAGCTGTGGCAGGGAGTTACTGTGGAGCTGCCACACCTAACGAATGCCATGGCAAATATTTATTTGCATGAAGTAATAAATTTCTGCTCTAAAAACTGGCCTCCTGCATCCTCATAGCGTTTATTTAATTCTCCCCAGGTCAAGCCTGTCCCTCCTTCATTGGATGGAGGTGGAATATCAGAGGAGGCCTCTGGGAAAGGCAAAGAGCACATCAGACTGCACCTGGGGAAATACCTGAGTTTTAGGAACATCAGGTGCCCAGTAGGTCTGTGTGGTTGTCTAAAACAAGAATCAAAGTCTTTTTTCTTGGCTGATGTTCTTCTGTAACCTTCTTTCAAGGCAATCCTGTACAATACCACAGGTATCATCAGGGAAAAGGCTCCTGTGTTACAGATATCTTGTGTGAAACCACACTGGTGGCATGTCCTCACTTCGCAGGGCTTTCTTTTGCATCCACACATTTTAAGGTAGCCTTTGTGCAGAATACTGTTTGTAACAAATACAAAGACTTTTATCTATAATATTGTCATCTTCTCTTGACAGCACATGAAGGTCCCAAAAGTTTAGATTATAGTTTGCAAAGATTGATCTAACTTTTTTCCTAGTTTTGATACCAAAAGCCTTATTTTCAAGAGCTGTTGAATCATCTCATCTTCTACAGATTTTATTTTGAATTCAGAGACACAGATAAATCAGACTCAGAAAAAGTGGGTACTCAAAATTAGAGAGATTTTGGGGGGTTTAGGTACCCTTGGATAAATATCTTACTTTAAGTTTATTTCTGAAAAGGGAACTGGGCTTAAGTCTTTCAACTTTTTATAAGCTAATCAGCACCTAATGGTGGCTTGTTTTGAGAAAGTCTTAAACCTTTCTTTTTTTCTACATCATTTAAAAGCCAAATTCAGCTCAACTGAAGTGAATAATTTGTAAAAGTCACTGAGAAGCTTGGAAATAATGCCAAAAAAAGTTAGAAGTCTTTTGTGCAAAATGGTAACAAAGCCTCTCCTTCTGCATAATTTTGGTCTCATTTGCCACAAAATATATCTGCAATAAGAGTCAAAAACCAATTTCCATATGAGTAAAACAGAGCTCGTAACATGTCTTGGTTTCTAAAGAAGGAGAAGTTTAATAAAAAATATGCAATCAATATATGCAGTTAATTAGCAGTATGCTAGAATTTACCAAGCTTTGTGACTAGCTCGAGTTAAAAATGAGATTATTGTAATTAATGTTAATTTTAGAATTTTCCTCTTGGCTATTTAAAGATCCACCTAGCACATTGTTACAATTAGATCTTATCCACTAAATTAGGTGGCAAGCCACGAACATTTACTGGTACAAGTTTGTTCTCCAGTACTATATTGAATTTATCTTTCAGTGTCTTCTCAACCTCTTCATCTGTAAGGGTTGTGATGTTCACCAGGTCCATGTCCTCTGTGTAGTTATACTTCATCTCAGTGAGGGTCCATCCAACTAAGGCAAGGACCCCACTGGTGGTTTGGAGACTGCAGATTGACTTCTTCCGAAGGATATTATCTGGAGACACTTGGAGGTATGCATTTAGCTCCTGGAAGTCATCTATATGCCGTGGCTCGAGAGTAAATCTATATATTTTTCGAATATTCCCCAGTTCTGGAGTATGAGGGAAGTCATTCTTGCTGTGCTCAGGAATATAATGCTTCCTTTTGACTTTCTCAAAGTACCAGGTGCCGTCGTCTTCCATGAAGTGGAAAATGCCGGGAACCTGGGGCTGGTCCTTCCCAGAAATCAGCATCAGTGGCTGCCACATCTGGTAGGCACCACCAAACCCAGCATCTGCTATGTAGGACTCTCCCTTGATCACCACCTTCAGCAGGATATGGTTTATCTGAGCAGTGTATCCCTTCTCTGCTGGGTCATAGCTGTTTGCACCCAGAATACAGACGTCATACCCTAATTCTTGCAAGGCCCAGAAGAGGAGGTGGGTGGTTTCCAGGCACCATCCACCACGTTTCTTTCTCACAATCTTATTGTAAGTAGACTGCAAATCCAGTTCGATGGCCTCCCCGCAGTGCATGCTGAGGTTCTCGAAAGGAATGCTCTGGATGTGATGCTGGAAGATGGCTGTCAGGGTTTGCAAGTCTGCATCCTTATGGGGCTTGTTGTAAGATATTCTTCCAAAATACTCCTGAATGTTCATTTTGCCTGTGTGAGCAGAAAAGTAGCCAGTTACTGCTGTGCAGCTGTCAAGGGGTTCCCTCCTGTTTCTGTAGCACAGGTTAACCAGCCTGCAAATGTAGTCTGGGCCATTTTATTGAGGATCTAAAATAATTTTAAGTATTTCTTTAAAAAGAGACAGGGACAGGAGCAGGTGGCAGTAATGCTCTCCCTCTCTCAGGGGCTGCCTTCAAACCAGGAAGATGTTTTTCCTATGAGTAGACACAGCACATGCCATAACAGAATCCCTGGCCACAGAGGAGGATCCCACATGACAAATTTTTTCAAAAATCACGAAAAGCTGCCACACCATACCAGCATAAAAGTCACAGCAAGCTCTTACTGTTTCTTTTTCTGCACCAGATAAGCAATTCTTTCTTTGTCCCACAGGTAATTTAACTGGGAGGTTTTGCATTCATGGATTCAGTTAACTGGGATTAACATCTCAGTGTGTCACCATTTCAGACAGGTTTCCATGTGAAGTAGATCATTGTTTTCTTAATCTCTTAAAATTCCCTGAGGAGTTTAGACAGGGCTTTCACTGCGAAAGGAAGGGACTTCAATTTTTCTAACCTAAGGATCAAAGGAATTGATCTAAAAGTACATACTAGGCAAGTCATAATCTTTTAGTTTCTTTGACCATCTTTTACAAACTAAAGGCTTTAGTTTCAGATCAAATTGTTGGAAATATTTTCCAGTTTTCTGTCTGTGTCTCTGATCCCCTTTCATTAGCAGAAAGACACTCATTGGCACTGATTGTGTGGCCAAGATACAAATGGTTCCCTGTAAGACTTTTAATTCAGTGACTCATCTTCTCTCTGCAAGGATTTATTTTGCCCTTAGTTTAGATTTAATTTGGCTTTTTTCCTTGCAAGGATATTTGTTGTTCAGAACAATTCACAATCTGTTAAGGGCTATGTTAATTTCCAGAAAGTCTGAGGATTTCTTACTTCAACTGGTTGAATGTTCCCTGGGAGGATTTTCCAAAAATCCTTTGATATGGGTGAGATGGGACAAACTCCCTTCCACTGAATATTCTCAGCTTTGGTCCATCTGTTTCCCCCCAGCAGTTTGACCCCATGTCTATGCCAAAAGCTTGTGAAAATCTCACATCAAATCCATGGGTGGAAGTGCCCCCACCTGAGCACATGAGCACATCCAGTGGCGTAATCTCTAGACTTTAACCCCAATCTTGATGCCAGCAGCACAACTCACATGATTTGGTTGTATTGTTCCTGATCTGCACTAGTACCAACATTCAGACTGGATAATACAAACCCACAGGAAAATGTGATAGAGGATCATCCCAATAAGGGAATAAGAAATAAACATTATCACTTCAAAAGGACCCAAAGAGTCTACATGAAAAAACAGTACTGTCTCTTTGATACTGCATTTTATTATTTTTTACATCCCTTTTTTAGGACAAGGGCACTAATCTCTGGTAGGATCTCCTTGGAAACACTTGTAAAAGCCATTTCCTTCCCAACACACAGCACACGTGTTCACTGGCAGGCTCATCCTGTGGTCTTCTGCCTCATTTTTGTTTCTATTCCCACTTTCAGCAATTTTTACATAGGAAGATAGAAACATCTTTACCCCATGAGAGTGTGCAGCTGAATGTCTGTGACCAGCAGGAGTCCAGAGGAATGCATCAGCCTGGTGGGTCTGACATGCTTGGAATTTGCCTTCAAGAAAAACAGATCAGTCCCTCCCCTGGGTCAGCAGCAGAAGGCCTGATGCCCCCCTGTAACCCATCTCCTGGGTCTGGGTGTCCCCATTACATGGGGAAAGCACAGGATGAAACCACCTCCCCTCATCCAGCCATGCAGAGCCTCCATGGGGCACTGGCAACCGGGCATTGGGAAATTCCCTGTCCATGCCTCAGTTTCCTCAGCTGCCCCTTCTCTGACCTCATCAATTTAAAATCTGCTTCAGAGACAGCCTTGTGGTGGCTGACAAAATGTGCTCTGATCTCAACGAATACTTAAAGAGGTTTAAGTATAATAAAGCTGCACTACAACATCACTGACATTAGGGAGCATCCACAGAAATCAGCATTTACTCCCTCGCCTCTCTGGAGGAAGATTTTTCCTTGGCACAGCCATTCCTGCTCTGAGAGCTGCTGCAGCAGTGAGCAAACCCTCTCCCAAGGGACGGTCTGCATTCCCAAACTGCACAGCCAAATATCCCGAGCCTCAGTACAGATCTCAGCCTTGGTTGCTTCTGCCCCTGCAGCAGCTGAGCTTAGCTCAGTGTTCCTGCAGCTTCGAGGGCAGTGGGATTCAGATGTTAGTTCTGCCTGTCTGTTCACAGTCCCTCGGGATCGCTGGGTCCTTGGGTAATTAGGCTGAATATTAGGATCAGTTCTTCTTAGCTAAAAATCACAAGAGACTTCCAAGGCTGGATCCTCTTGCACATGCCTACACTGTTTGTTTAATTCCAAATTGCACTGTGAGTCAATAGCTGCATTTTTCATACACTCTGGCTCAAAAGAAAGGGTTAGTTTAACTCTCAAACACTGGATGTTGCATTTGGAAAACACCCTTGCAATGCTCACTCACCATCACCCTGGGGTGCCTGTAGTTTGTGCTTTGCTAATACTCCTGCAGTGCTGTGCACAGGGTGTGCAGGCTCACAGGGGTGGGCTTTCCCAGCGGGGCTGACCCAAAACTGCAGGATGAAGTTAAAGATCAGGCATGCAGAGCTTACCTCGCAGGCAGCCAGCTCAGGCTTTCCACTCTGGCCTGTTCCAAAGTTCCCAGGAAGAGCTGCACTGGCAACTGCTGCTCTTAAAGGTCCAGGCTGCCTTTAGTGCCTGTCAGGGACAGCCTTATCCTCCAGCAGAGCAGCCAAAGAGGGGAGAGAGTTTCTCCTTTAATAGTACTTTCTATTCTGATGGTT